TGATACAAGGCAGGATGGATCCACCACACCATGACACCACCACCACCAGCCTGAACCATTGATACAAGGCAGGATGGATCCACCACACCATGACACCACCACCACCACCAGCCTGAACCATTGATACAAGGCAGGATGGATCCATGCTTTCATGTTGTTTATGCCAAATTCTGACCCTCCCATCTGAATGCTGTAGCTGAAATCCAGACTCATCAGGCCAGGCAACGTTTTTCCAATCTTCTATTGTCTAATTTTGGTGATCCTGTGCGAACTTTAGCCTCCGTTTCCTCTTCTTAGCTGACAGGAGTGACACCCGGTGTGGTCTTCTCCTGCTGTAGCCCATCTGTACGTGTTGTGCGTTCAGAGATGGGATTCTGTATACCTTGAATGTAACGAGTGGTTATTGGAGTTACTGTTGCTTTTCTATCATCTGGAACCAGTCTGTCCATTCTCCTCTGACCTCAACAAGTCATTTTCCTCCACACAACTGCCGCTCACTGGATATTTTCTGTTTTTCTGACCATTCTCTGTAAACCATAGAGATGGTTGTACGTGAAAATCCCAGTAGATCAACAGTTTTTGAAATCCTCAGACCAGCTTGTCTGATACCAACAAGCGCGCCACGAAACCCCCCATGTAAATAAGTATTCCCAGCCTTTGCCATGACGCTCAAAATTGAGCTCTGGTGCATCCGGTTCCCACTGATCATCCTTGAGATGTTTCCACAACTTGATTAGAGTCCACCTGTGGGACATTCAGTGGATTGGAGTCCACCTGTGGGACATTCAGTGGATTGGAGTCCACCTGTGGGACATTCAGTGGATTAGAGTCCACCTGTGGGACATTCAGTTGATTGGAGTCCACCTGTGGGACATTCAGTGGATTGGAGTCCACCTGTGGGACATTCAGTGGATTAGAGTCCACCTGTGGGACATTCAGTTGATTGGACATGATTAGGAAAGGCATAAACCTGTGTATAGAAGGTCCTACAGGTAACAGTGCATGTCAGAGCACAAACCAAGCCATGAAGTCCAAGGAATTGTCCGTAGACCTCCGAGACAGGATTGTATCAAGTCACAGATCTGGGGAAGGGTACAGAAACATTTCTGCAGCATTGAAGGTCCCAGTGAGCACAGTGGCATCCATCATCCATAAATAGAAGAAGTTTGGAACCACCAGGAATCTTCCTAGAATGGGCCGCCTGGCCAAAATGAGCGATCGAGGGAGAAGGGCCTTAGTCAGGGAGGTAACCAAGCACCCAATGGTCACTCTGAAGGACCTCCAGCGTTTCTCTGTGGAGAGAGGAGAACCTTCCAGAAGAACAACCATCTCTGCAGCACTCCACCAATCAGGCCTGTATGGTAGAGTGGCCAGATGGAAGCCAAATGGCAGCCCACCTGGAGTTTGCCAAAAGGCACCTGAGGGACTCTCAGACCATGAGAAACAAAATTCTTTGGTCTGATGAAACAAAGATTGAACTCTTTGGCCTGAATGCCAAGCGTCATGTCTGGAGGAAACCAGGCACCGCTCACCACCTGCCCAATACCATCCCTACAGTGAAGCATGGTGGTGGCAGCATCATGCTGGGGTGATGTTTTTCAGTGGCAGGAACTGGGAGACTAGTCCGGATCAAAGGAAAGATGAATGCAGCAATGTACAGAGACATCCTTGATGAGAACCTGTTCCAGAGCGCTCTGGACCTTAGACTGGGGTGACGGTTCATCTTTCAACAGGACAACGACCCTAAGCACACAGCCCACATAACAAAGGAGTGGCTACAGGCCAACTCTGTGAATGTCCTAGAGTGGCCCAGCCAGAGCCCAGACTTGAACCCGATTGAATATCTCTGGAGATCTGAAAATGGATGTGCACCGACGCTCCCCATCCAACCTGATGGAGCTTGAGAGGTTCTGCAAAGAGGAACGGGAGAAATCGCCCAAAAATAGGTGTGCCAAGCTTGTAGCATCGTACTCAGAACGACTCGAGGCTGGAATGGGGGCTAAAGGGGCTTCAACAAAGTATTGGGCAAAGGCTGGGAATACTTATGCACATGGGTGGGGGGGCTGGGAATACTTATGTACATGGGGGGGGGGGCTGGAAATACTTATGTACATGGTGGGGGGGGGGGGCTGGGAATACTTATGTACATGGGGGGGGGGCTGGAAATACTTATGTACATGGGGGGGGGGGCTGGAAATACTTATGTACATGGGGGGGAGGGGCTGGGAATACTTATGTACATGGGGGGGGGGCTGGGAATACTTATGTACATGGGGGGGGGGCTGGAAATACTTATGTACATGGGGGGGGGGGCTGGAAATACTTATGTACATGGGGGGGGGGGCTGGGAATACTTATGTACATGGGTTTTTGTATATATACACACACAGTATATACAGCTGTGTTCAAAATAATAGCAGTGTGTTGAAAAAAGTGAATAAAGCTGCAAATCCTTCTAATAGCTTTTATTTCCATCCACACAAATGCATTGGGAACACGACACATTCTATTCCAAATCACAACATGAAGAAAAATACATCAAATTTGTGTTGTTCCTCTAAAAAAATGAAGAAAAGTGAATATTAGACGGTTCAAAAAAAATGGCCGTGTTTGTATTCTTCTTTACAAACTCAAACATTCACTATATAAACTGAGAAATGTTTGAAGATTTTGCTTTCCTTTGAATGACTTCATGAATATTTGGTTGTAGTCGCACTGTTTCTGAGAACTGCTGTACATCTGTGTTGCATGGAGTCCCCCAACTTCTGGCCCCTGTGATCAGGTATTCCAGCCCAGGATGATTGGACCACATTCCACAGTTCTTCTCTATTTCTTGGTTTTGCCTCAGAAACTGCATTTTTGATGTCCCCCCACAAGTTTTCTATTGGATGAAGATCCGGGGATTGGGCTGGCCACTCCATAACGTCTTGTTGGTCTGGAACCAAGATGTTGTACGTTTACTGGTGTGTTTGGGGTCGTTGTCTTGTTGGAACACCCATTTCAAGGGCATTTCCTCTTCAGCATAAGGCAGCATGACCTCTTCAAGTATTCTGATGGATTCAAACTGATCCATGATCCCTGGTATGCGATAAATAGGCCCAACACCGTAGTATGAGAAACATCCCCATATCATGATGCTTGCACCACCATGCTTCACGGTCTTCACAGTGTACTGTGGCTTGAATTCAGTGTTTGGGGGTCGTCTGACAAACTGTCTCCGCCCACTAGACCCAAAAAGAACAATCTTACTTCCATCAGCCCACAAAATGTCGCGTCATTTCTCTTTAGGCCGGTCAATGTGCTCTTTGGCAGATTGTAACCTCTTCGGCACACGTTTTTTTTCCCAACAGTGGGACTTTGCGGGGACTTCTTGCAGATAGCTTGGCTTCACATAGGCGTCTTCTAATTGTAACAGTCCTCACAGGAAACGTCACACCTTCTTTCATCTTCCTGGAGCTGATTGTTGGCTGAGTCCTCACAGGGAACGTCACACCTTCTTTCATCTTCCTGGAGCTGATTGTTGGCTGAGTCCACGCCATGTTGGCTATTCTTCTATCCATTACAATGGTAGTTTTTCGCTTTCTTCCACGTCTTTCAGGTTTTGGTTGCCATTTTAAAGCATTTGCCATCATTTTAGCTGAGCAGCCGATCATTTTCTGCACTTCTTTATATGTTTTCCTCTCCAATCAACTTTTTAATCAAGGTACGCTGTTCTTCTGAACAATGTCTGGAACGACCCATTTTCCTCAGAATTTCAGAGAGAAATGCACTGTAACCAGCATGTCCAACATTTGCTGCCTTCCTTCCTTAAATAAGGGCAATAATTGCCATCAAAGAATGAATGACGTCACTGATAGAACTCCACACGGCTATTATTTTGAACACGCCCCTTTCAATGAGTGATTCAATGACACAGAATCAGCAGCATGCATGTCATGACTGTTGGGTCTGTTGGATTTCTATGACTCTACTACACCTGCTAGGAAATTATTTGCCATGTAGAGATATCATTTCCACCAAAAACAGTGATTGATCCAGTTAGTGATGTCTGACTGCTAGTATTTTCAACACAACTGTATATATCAGGGGCGGACTGACTATTTGGAAACTCGGGCACTGCCCGAGGGCCCGGGGTCAGTAGGGGGCCCCATGAGATGCCCCTGGTACCTTTTTCATAGGCTTTTTTGAGTTTGGGCAAGGACACAGGGGCCACATGATCCCCTATTGCCCAGGGGCCCCATGAGTTGTCAGTCCGCCCCTGGTATATATACATACACACAGTATATATATATATATATACACACACACATACACATCCACCCCCCCCCCCCCCCCCCCTCGCCATCCTGTAGGTTTGCCATTGTCAGCAGGGAAGACTGGGATGGGAAATTCTAACTTTTGCAGTTGTCACAGAACAGAAGGTCAGGGAAATCTATAGGGGGACACCTGTTCCGGCGACAACTGTCCACAATGGAATTTCCTTTCACTTTGCCTCGTGTCTGGGACAGGAAGTGAAAGAGACAGCAAAAAAAAAAAAAGCTTGTGTGCAGCCATTGTGAGCATCATTCTGTCTTTGATTGAAGCTGCACACAGTACGAAGGGGGAGGAGTCACTGTTTTATAAAGGAAAACATGTGAAAAGGAGGCTAAAGCTCCACCTGCTGACTTAAAAGGAAAATGCATAAAAAAAAACCCTCAACAATGCAATAGCTATTTTCCTAACAAAAATAGAAAATTAGATTTTTGAGTTGTATTATTATTATTATTTTTAGTTTTTTTAATAACTGAAGAAAATATGTAGATATCGGCCGTACATTCTCTATAAGGTCATTTTATGTGATTTATTATGTATCTTGTGGACTGTTTTCTCCTTGTGCTGGAGAGGTTGTCCTCAGATTTCTTTAAATCCTCCCCTCCAGTCTTGCACCAGTGTAGCGGCTCCTCCCCTTTAGTCTTGCGCAGGTGTATCGGCTCCTCCCCTCCAGTCTTGCACAGGTGTAGCGGCTCCTCCCCTTTAGTCTTGCACAGGTGTACCAGCTCCTCCCCTTCAGTCTTGCACAGGTGTACCGGCTCCTCCCTTTAGTTTTGCACAGGTGTACCGGCTCCTCCCCTTCAGTCTTGCACAGGTGTATCGGCTCCTCCCCTCCAGTCTTGCACAGGTGTACAGGCTCCTCCCCTTCAGTCTTGCACAGGTGTAGCGGCTCCTCCTTTTCTGTCTTGCACAGGTGTACCGGCTCCTCCCCTCCAGTCTTGCACAGGCGTATAGGCTCCTCCCCTTAAGTCCTCCCGATTCCTCCCCCAGTTTTGCACAGGCGTACCGGCTCCTCCCCTTCAGTCTTGCACAGGTGTACCGGCTCCTCCCCTTCAGTCTTGCACAGGTGTACCAGCTCCTCCCCTTCAGTCTTGCACAGGTGTATAAACTCCTCCCCTCCCGTCTTGCACAGGTGTACTGGCTCCTCCCCTTCAGTCTTGCACAGGTGTACCGGCTCCTCCCCTTCAGTCTTGCGCAGGTGTATAAACTCCTCCCCTCCAGTCTTGCACAGGTGTACCGGCTCCTCCCCTTCAGTCTTGCACAGGTGTATCGGCTCCTCCCCTCCAGTCTTGCACAGGTGTACTGGCTCCTCCCCTTCAGTCTTGCACAGGTGTACCGGCTCCTCCCCTTCAGTCTTGCACAGGTGTATAAACTCCTCCCCTCCAGTCTTGCACAGGTGTATAAACTCCTCACCTTCAGTCTTGCACAGGTGTACCGGCTCCTCCCCTTCAGTCTTGCACAGGTGTATTGGCTCCTCCCCTCCAGTCTTGCACAGGTGTACCAACTCCTCTCCTGAAATGGCTTCCTCTGATGTCACCGCACACTGTGAGCCTCTCACAATGTGCATTAGAAGCTGCAGCCAGTCAGATAGAGCTCCGCCTCATCTCCTGGCTGGAGGACATCTAGCATCATCTAGCACTTTCCTCCTCAGCCCGACTGTCCCTGGCCCCGCCCCTTTCATTCATTAGATTTCAGTTCTTTCACCTGGGGTCACCTAGGGAGGTCTGCATGCAAATAGAGCCTGATTAGGAACGCCCACTCCTCCAGATTGACACCCACCCATTCAGGCATTTTTGCATCACTCCTCCCACTGAGTGCATCAGAGCTGAGGAGTACTGAGGCAGGGCACTGTGATACTTTCAGGAAGCTATGCACAGCCCCCTGCTTGCCCCTCCCACCAGTCGTGATCTGTCTTCATTGCATAGAGAACATAGAGACCCAGTGATGACATCACTGGGTCTAGAACAGTGGTTCTCAACCTTCCTAATGCCGCAACCCTTTAATACAGTTCCTCATGTTGTGGTGACCCCCAACCATAAAATTATTTACCCAGCAATTATAATTCATGAGTGTCGTTTTACCTCCAATACTGCTGCTTTCAACACAGTAGCTGCTTTCTACACAGTAGCTGCTCTTTACACATTGGAAATATGTGTTTTCCGATGGTCTTAGGCGACCCCTGTGAAAGGGTTGTTTGACCCCCAAAGGGGTCGTGACCCACAGGTTGAGAACCACTGGTCTAGAATAAGGAATGTAATAAAAGTGGAAAGGGTTTGTTTAAAAATATTAATATCCTGTTGATGGGGGGGGGGGCTGGGAGGAACCCGAGAAGGTAAAACAAAGACAGACGAAGCGTTTTATAAATCGTTTGATGAGATTTGTTCTGTAGGGGGCGCTGGAGAGGCCGCCTCGTCCCCAGAATCGGGTTTAATGGTCGAGGTTATTAAAGGTCAAATAATTCCACAATTAAACTGCATAGCTGGGACGGGGGGGGGGGGGGGGGGGGGGGGGGGGGGGGGGGGGGGGGGGGGGGGGGGGGGGGGGGGGGGGGGGGGGGGGGGGGGGGGGGGGGGGGGGGGGGGGGGGGGGGGGGGGGGGGGGGGGGGGGGGGGGGGGGGGTGTGAAGTTTGTGTCCCGAAATGTCGAAGCAAACGAGGGGCAGGGCGTGGCCTGACCTTTGCTGAGGCTTTGGCAGCGAACGCACGGCGATTGGCCGAATGGGGAGAACGTCTGGAAATCACAGACAGCGCCAGGCGAGGAGTTGACACAGTGCTGGCAACACATGCAGAGTCCCAATGGAGGAACCTCTATGACTCCCATCACATGAGGAAGCCGAGGGAGGAACCCAAAGACAGCCAGTTAACCCTTCCCGTCCTCTGACTCCAAACTCACAGCCTCGGGGTTCCCAACACCCACACAAACTATGCGCCCCCATCCGCTCTACTCTGATCGCCATTGAGAGTCGGGGGGAGGGAGTAGCAGACTGACAAGCTCATCTCTCTGATCTCTCCTTCTATGAGCATGACCGCTTTTTTGTAATCTTCGCAACATTTTGATTTTGGTTGCTTGTGCTGCTTCTCCCTCCCCCAGTCTGAGCTCTGCTGGGAAATTCAATTGCTACATTTTCTTGTAATAAAGACAGCTTATGCTGCTCTGTCTCCTTGTGCGGGGTGACTGGTCTTGTCTTTGCCCCCTCCTGTAGTGGGTGGGGCCTGCTTGGCCCCTCCCACAGTTCTGCTGTCTCTCCTTGTGCAGCGTGACTGGTCTTGTCTCCGCCCCCTCCTATAGTTTTCTGTAGTGGGTGGGGCCTGCTCTGCCCCTCCCACAGTTCTGTTCTCTTTCCTTGTGCAGGGTGACTGGTCTTGTCTCCGCCCCCTCCTATAGTTTTCTGTAGTGGGTGGGGCCTGCTCTGCCCCTCCCACAGTTCTGTTCTCTTTCCTTGTGCAGGGTGACTGGTCTTGTCTCCACCCCCTCCTACAGTTTTCTATAGTGGGTGGAGTCTGCTGGGCCCCTCCCACATCTCTGCTCTCTCTCCTTGTGCAGGGTGACTGGTCTTGTCTCTGCCCCCTCCTATAGTTTTCTGTAGTGGGTGGAGCCTGCTGGACCCCTCCCACAGCTCTGCTCTCTCTCTCCTTGTGCAGGGTAATTGGTCTTGTCTCCGCCCCCTCCTGTAGTTTTCTGTAGAGGGTGGAGCCTACTGGGCCCCTCCCACAGGTCTTTTCTCAGCACAGGTTATGCACAGCACCGTGTTGATGTCACTGTTACTTTTACAAGGTAATATCTGGGTTTGCATCCTTTATTGAGGAATATACTTTGATGAAAGGTTCTGTGCCCCGGAGTTCAGCTTTAACTTGATGGCGGGAAGGTGGAGATCCTGGAACATGTGCTGTATAAAGATTCCTCGGAGTCTGGCTGACCCCCCCCCCCCCCATCGCGTTGCGGCCGCCTCTCCGGCGTTCACATTCCAGAACGTGCTTTTCCGTTATTTTACTCCTGCTTTGATTTGAATTCAACTCCTCTCTGAGTCATTTGGGGAGCTGAGGATGGCGAGGGGGAGCCAAGATTTATATTCCAGCTTCTTCTCCGCTGCTCAGAAACATCTCGGAGAGGGTGGGACCGGGCGTGTGACGCGTGGGACGGAGAACGCTGTCCAGAAACAGTGACGGTGGATTCTGTCACTGGAAAACCCTGCTGACCAACCAGTGGCCCCGGGGCCACAAGCAGCCCTTTGGCACTGATCATGTGACCCCTGTAGACTGTATTCTGCTCTTATTATAATATATAGGGTGGCTTCTAGCATTTCCATTGGTCGGTTTTATCTCTTCCACGCTGTCTTATTGTCTTCTAGGCTGTCCTTACCAACCACTTACCCTCCGGAAAAGTTTTACCACCTTCATGACCAGGCCAGGTTTTGCTATTCAGCACTGCGCTACTTTAACTGGTAATTTTACCATATTTATTATAGTCCCTTATATAGCGCCTTCAATGTACGCAGCGCCTTACATATATTGTACATTCACATCAGTCCCCGCCCCCGAGGAGCATACAATCTTAAGGTCCCTAACTTACCTTCATACATACACATACTAGGGACAAAGTAGACAGGAGCCAATTCACCTCCCAGCATGTCTTTGGAGTGTGGAAGGAAACCGGAGTTCCGGAGGAAACTCATGCAGGCATAGGTACTTGTATAGCGCCGTCAATTTACACAGCGGTCTACATATATATTGTACAGTCACATCAGTCCCTGCCCCCGAGGAGCGTACAATCTAAGGTCCCTAACTCGCATTCATACATACTATGGCCAATGTAGACAGGAGCCAAATCACCTACCAGCATGTCTTTGGAGTGTGGAAGGAAACCGGAGCACCCGGAGAAAACCCACGCAGGCATAGGTACTTGTATAGCGCCGTCAATTTACGCAGTGCTTTACATATATATATTGTACATTCACATCAGACCCCGCCCCCGAGGAGCGTACAATCTAAGGTCCCTAACTCACATTCATACATACACATACTAGGGACAATTTAGACAGGAGCCAATTAACCTTCCAGCATGTCTTTGGAGTGTAGGAGGTAACCGGAGTGCCGTGGTTGGGATTTAACCAATGACCCCTAGTGCAGCCAGGCACAGGAGGAAACCGGAGTACCCAAAGGAAACCCATGCAGGCATAGGGAGAAAAAATATTTATTGTTTATTTATTTCAGGTACTTATATAGCACCATCAATTTATGCAGCACTTTACATATATATTGTACATTCACATCAGTCCCCGCCCCGAGGAGCGTACAATCTAAGGTCCCTAACTTACATTCATACATACTACATACTAGGGACAATTTAGACAGGAGCCAATTCACCTACAGCATGTCTTTGGAGTGTGGGAGGAAACCAGAGTACCTGCAGGAAACCCACAGAGGCACAGGGAGAACATGCAAACTCCAGGCAGGAGGTGCCGTGGTTGGGATTCAAACCAACAGCCCCATACTAGGGCCTATGTAGACAGGAGCCAATTCACCTCCCAGCATGTCTTCTGGAGTGTGGAAGGAAACCGGTGTACCCGGAGGAAACTCACGCAGGCACAGGGAGAACATGCAAACTCCAGGCAGGTGGTGCCGTGGTTGGGATTCAAACCAACGGCCCCATACTAGGGCCAATGTAGACAGGAGCCAATTCACCTCCCAGCATGTCTCTGGAGTGTGGGAGGAAACCGGAGTACCTGGAGGAAAACCACGCAGGCACAGGGAGAGCATGCAAACTCCAGGCAGGTGGTGCCGTGGTTGGGATTTGAACCAACGACCCGAGTACTGCTAGGTGGAAGTGCTGACCATTTAGGCGCTGTGCTGCCCATGTTTATAGCCACGATGCTTTCATTCATTAGCTCAGTCATCCAATCGGTAGTCCTCGTTAGACTCTCCCTATATACGTACACATCCTTCCCGTTACTATATCAGCCTATGCTTGAGAAGGCAGCGCGCTTGGCATCCATTGGCTTCGCACATGTTCCGAAACGCGTCGCGTCGCATGCTGGTCCTCTTCACGTCATCACACTGACGCCGACATTGCGCTCCAAGGTGTGTTCCTTCGCCCATCTGCTGAGAGACGCGCACACAAGCCGGCCGGCTCTCTCCGGAGTCTCCCCAGGCGCGGATGTCGGCTTACCCAGCCAGGACGTCTCTTGACACTCCAATCTGGAGGAGCCTTTTTCATTCTTTCGCCATGTCAGTGATTTTTTGTTATTGTTCCGCATTAAATGTCCTCAAACTGCACTTAAGAGGCGCTCTTTCCGATTGTGTTTCATCCGGAGCCTGCTACAGCTTCAAGAGCTTGCCTACGTTGAACTTTAATATGTGCATTTACTGGTTCTCTGGCACCTGATTTGGGGAATTATTTTGCGCTGATTTTATTGTTTTTTGTCTTTGATGTCTTCACTGGGTCTCTTTGATCTCTATGCAATGCAGGCACATCATGGCTGGTGGGAGGGGCTTTATACGGCTTCATGAAAACTGCACAGCACCCTGCCTCAGCACTTAGTGGGAGGAATTATGCAAATATAAAAATGCTTTGACGGGTGGACGTCAGTCTGGAGGAGTGGGCGTTCCTAGGCAGGCTGTATTTGCATAGGTAACGCCCACATGTGATGGTTTAAATTACAACTCCGTACAGAAGGGAGTTAACACGC